GGGGATGATCGCACCACGTTGTCGTGTTGAATGGTCAAGCACCCTCGAGGCAGTTACACGGTGCTACAACTGTCTCTGGAAGTGAAGCACCAGAAAATAAATTAAGTCATACGCAGCTGTCATCCGTACGCAAGGAAGTAAGCACAAGATGCCGAACACCCTTCGCGGTTAGACCATTGACCACGCGTCCTCGAGAGAGGTACGGAACATTGGACGGGGGGTACTTATGCAAACGCCTCCCGCAGTCGATAGACCTTGCATCCGTACAATGCCGGGACAGTTCCAACCTATAAAAGGGGTCGGGCGAAGGGGGGGGGGGGTACTACTGTAAACGATTGTCGTAGTCGATAGACCTCGCATCAATACAACACCGGGACAGTTCAAGTTTTAAAAGGGGTTGGGAGGGGGGGAGGGGGGGGAGAGTATATTTAAGGGAGCACCGTGGAGGGTTGACAAAGGCGGGGGACAAATAAGTGAGCGCATGGAAGTGCCGGGCAGAAATGCTGTGAGCGCTGACATAAAGTGGCGAAAAAAAAATGCGCGTCATCTTATCCGTATCAGCTAGTATGATGTGCATAGCCTTTGCGATCTCGCGTCGAACGCATCAACCGACAGGAGTAAGGCCACCCGGGATTTCATTTTGCCCACTGTTTTCGTGGTGAAAGTCGAGACAAATGACAATAATCAAGGTAAGGCGCTCTCGAGACAGCCGGGGGGGGGGGCTGTACTCATATTCGTGCATGCCGTAGTCGTTAGACCATTGACCTCGCATCCCTACAAAGCCGGGACGGAGCACGCCGGGTTCTCACCGGACCAGGCTCTCACATCACCAAGCGCGAAGCGCCGTGAGATATTCGGCGAGTCGCATGAAGGGTGCGCTGCATCCTGCTAAGGGTGTTCGGCATCTTGTGCTTACTTCCTTGCGTACGGATGACAGCTGCGTATGAATTAATTTATTTTCTGGTGCTTTCACTTCCAGAGACAGTTGTAAGCACTGTGTAACTGCCTCGAGGGTGCTTGACCATTTTAACACAACGTGGTGCGATCATCCCCCTTGCGCGGAGTGAGGGTTCCCCACCCCGCACAACATGATCTACTCGACCACCATTATGGTTACCGCCAAAAAAATACCAGAGGTAGAAAAGAATAACGGTAACCTGGTTGCCGAGTTCACGAAGAGAATTGGCTTGTTTTACAACGTCGTTGCCACGCGACGAACACCCAATCCCGATGGCAAACACCGATGGGGGGGAGGTGTACTCATAGTCGTGCATGCCGTAGTCGTTAGACCATTGACCTCGCATCCCTACAAAACCGGGACGGAGCACGCCGGGTTCTCACCGGACCAGGGTTTCACATCACCAAGCGCGAAGCATGCAAAACACAAGAGCACGCCCCCCCCCCCCCCCCCCCCCCCCCCCCCCCCCCCCCCCCNCCCCCCCCCCCTCTCCGACCCATATTTTAGGTCTGCTGTCCCCCTCCACGAGCGGATGGCACTCCAGAGTCGTCGTCTCGCGCGGTATCGGAAAGCCCGCACCTCCGCAGACGCCGGCACCGCTCATCCAGCAGTCGTAACAGGGCGCACAAGGACAAGGAGGCGGACTTGCGACGCCGGGCTAAGAAGGCGGGGGTCGGCGGCGGCGGCGGCGGCGGCGGTTCGGGGTCGACCAAGGTCATGATGGACGCCGTCCAAGAGCAGCAGGAGGAGGCGCAGCAGGCTCCGGCGTTCGGCATGTCGACGGAAGCGACGGGGAGAGTAAACGGGGGAGAGGAAGGAGCCCCCCCGGGGCAGTGAAACCCCCCCCAAGACGGAGCCGGGTTAAGGCTGCCCTGCAGGGATAACCTCAACAGTATCACGGGGTGGCGATACAAGAATCGGGCCGCGGTAAGGCTACCCTGCAAGGATCGTGTCAACAGCAGTCCCAAAGGGTGGCGGTATGAGCGGCTTGGGCGGTAGAGGCATTAAAGAACGAGACTCTATTTTGGTTCCCGTTTGGCATGCTGGTGGTCATTCGGCCTGGCTTAGGGTTTTCGGCCCACACGTCGTACGCCGTGTTGTCCACCTGGCGAGTTTTTGTGTGGGGTGTGCTGGGCACTTCCTCGTCGCAGATCAGCGTTTTTTGGGTGTGTAATCGTTGTGGAAGGTGGTTTTCGAGTGAGTCGCGTGGTCGTGCTGGTTCCTTTGGGTTTCTCAACTAGTGCATGGTCGGACTTATTTTTTGATGTTTGGTAATATGCGTTGCCGTCCCCGCGTTTCCCATTTGGGGAGGGGGGGGCGTTTTCCGTTTGGGGAGGGGGGGAGGTGCAGCAGGTGCTGTTTCGCTGTATTGGGCGCGGATGTGTGGTGTATTTTACGTCGGGGTTTGGATACGAGAGTCAGCGCGGCGACGACAATAGAGGTGTTAATCGTGGCCGATGACGTCAGACCCTTCTCTGTTGAACCGTACCCATTTGCTTGATTCCAAACGTGGAAGGGGAACGGCAGCAGCGCTGCCTCCGCATGCTTTCGTCCATTCGCCCCAGGTACGTATGGATGTTGTTGCCTTGATGGCCCGAACCGTGTTTGTTATTCATTCAACGTCTCCCTCTTGTCGCTGGGCATTTTTTCTCACCGCTTTGTAGGAAGCCGGACTGTTTATTGTCCTTACCTTGTCTCGTCTGGTGTTGCCTCGTGTTGCCACCCGGGCAAGTTTGACGACGTCCTTAGCGCGTGTTTTGTTTCTCGCGCTGGTCGATGATTGGGCTCCTTTGTTGTCTGCTGCTAAACCGTCGCTGAAAAAGAGACCGCACAGACGTTCCCACGCCTGTTTTTTTTTTTAGGTTCGAGTTTATGCCACCTTGGCTGGCGCGTTAGGAAAAGCTCATATACAACAACGTGTGTGGTGCGCAATTCTTCCCAACTAGCGGTCTATCTTTTGACGCAGTGATTTGTCATGTCTTGAAGACGTAAATTCCTGGGAGAATACTAAGAAAACTCTAATTCTTGCCTCTGTTTTCGATTTTTTTTTTTCATTTTTGGCGCAAGTCACCCGCGCGTAGAAGATGCCGTCTTTCGTCGGTGTGCGATCCCTCGCTCTTCTCCGCGCTATACACGCACCCCGTTCCGTCCGACTGACAAGTCACTCCCACCACCGCCAGATTAAGCAAGGGCTAGGCGAAACCGACTCTGCCTGGCCTTTATGTTTTCGTACTAGCATGAGCTTCTGGTTGAGTGTTGTTTCGTGTGGGAACAGTAGTGTTAGTGTCCTCGCTGATGAGCACCCTCTCCGCGGAGTAGCGAGAACGAGTGTTGCAATCCTTGCGAACCGGCGTGTATTGCAGGAGCGGGTTTCTCGAACGTGCCACGCGTTGTTGTTCGTTGGAGTGGATGCGCCAGCCAAGGGAGGCCCTGCAGAGGGCACACCCGAGCACGCTCGAGGAAGGGGTCCGTTTCGAAGCGGTTGTCGCCGGGGGTGGTTGGAGGGCAGACGTGCCACGAAGAGTTTGTCGGCCTTCGCCGAGAACGTGATTGGCGTCCAAGCGTACATGTTGCCACCGTGGACATGACGGTGTAGAGAGCGATATTATTGTCTGTTTTGTCGGAGGGGAAGGCCAGGCCAGCCGGTCACTAGCACTCGGAGAGAGGGGCGTGAGGGGGCGTACGGGGTGGGGGATTTGCTCTGAAGGTCAATCCAGCGGTTGTGTCGATACTTTGGATGGTTGAGACAAGGTTCTAGAGACTGGTCATGATCAAAGTTTGGGGGCTTAAGTTTTCCTGACCAAAGCAACCGAACAAAGAAAGGTGTAAACTATTTCCTTTGTTTTCATTCACCATCATTCGCTGTGACCTGTCTGCTGTGCAGTTGTTGACGCACGCGCGCGTGGTTTTTTGGCTCAATGGTTTCCGTGCGAGATGTGGTTTATGAGCAGCAGCAAGTGTTTACCACTCGAGTGATGGTCGACGTTGTAGCTTCTTGACTGCTCCTGGCCTTTCCGCCCGACAGCAGCACAAGTAGGCTCGCGAAAGAAGAGTCTTTCTGCAGGATGAGAGACAGACATAATTGTACAAATGATGGGTTTGCTTAGCCCCGAAGGGGAGAATTTCTCAATGGCACTAGCCTGAATGCAAGACGATGAGCAGCTGGTTTCTCAACATCATTGCTACAGTCGTTGTGGTACTACTGTCGTCCTGCACGAACAGACGCGATCGGGCTTCTCTGCTTCAGTTTTTTGTCTACCCTTCACCGTTCGTTTCCTTTCTCACCTGGGGCCGTCGCTAACAGCAGTATGTGTGTGTGTCCCGCCCCCCTTGTCTATGTTCCCTGTCTCTGTGTAGTGCGTGTCTTGCCAGTAGCAGCAGCAATGTGTGCAGCACGGCAGTGCGTCGTGGTTTCTTGCGTGCGTGTAGTTTGTTGCCCAGAGAAAAACAAAAATGACGACGCCTCCCGGGGATGCGTCCATGTGACATATATATTTGCACAGACGGTGTGCTATCTCGAGACACCGACCACGGATTGCAAAGGTAGCGGTTGGGACAGCTCGGGCAAAATATNTATTACTAGAGTTGGAGGTTGTTGTTGTTGTTGTTGTCTTCACATTAAACCGTATGTCAGTTGCC